ATGTCTGTTAGTGTAAAGCGCTTTGGGGGTCCGGAGGGACTTGAAAAGCGCTCTATAAGTTCAGTACCATTTACCATTTACCAAAGTTCCTCTGGCCCGTAAAGCAATATACAAAAAGTCATTTATTCCGTTTGCAATATCCACTTTGAATACTTCTAAATGAGAGTATTGTAATGTATTTAACAGTTGCTTTTAACAGTCCCTTTTATGTGTTTTTATGTGTTTTTGTGGGGAGTTTGTTACAAGTATGCTGTTGTTGGAGCCCTGTCGAAGAAAAATTTCTGTCACCACCTGAGACAGACAATAAAGTTATTCTATTCTATTCTATTCTATTCTATTCTATTCTATTCTATTCTATTCTATTCTATTCTATTCTATTCTATAGTAGCTTCAGCCACAATCCAGACTCTCATTAAAAGCTATAGGAAGTGTTTAGAAGCTGTTATTTCTGCAAAAGGAGGATCTACTAATTATTGAGTAAAGTTTTATTTATTTATTATGACCCCCACACGCGAAGCGTAAGCGGGAGTCATATTGTTTTCGTACTGTTTATTTTAAATTTTTTTTAATTTTCAGTGATTTTTGGTCAACCATAGCACAAAAATGGCTGCACCGGTCAACATGAAATTTGGCAGGACTGTAGATGAGTCTGACTTACACTGCGCCAGCCAACAGTTTTATGATAGACCCCATATTTGAGGAGGGGGTTCCTTTCAAAGTGGGGGTGTCAGGACATGCAAAAATGCTTATAACTCAGAAAGTGTGATAGAAGCTTCAGATTTCTTTTGTTGTTTAGCTCTGATGAAGTTCTATCCATCAGGCCCACCACTGAAGATGTGGAAGATCTGTACATATTTGGATTTATGATAACTGGATTCCTGCTGATCGGCTGTGGAGGAGTCCTGGCTTATCGAAAATGAAAGCGATCCTGACAGCAGTCCTGGCCTGTGAAAAGCTGTCCAGAACCATGGGCAGAATCTCCTGTACTGGAAACAAACAGACTCAGATGTTGGGGGATATAAGTCACAAACTGGACGTGATTCTGATGAGAATCACAGTTCAGCAGCGTGACCATGACATGTAGGATTACACCTGTGTGAAGTTTCAGTCAGAAAGAGAGGTGAGGAGGTACTTGAAATTCGGAATATTCGGCATTTTTCTTTTTTTGCCTTCTCAGAGATGAAGTTAAAGATAGTTAAAGCAGTGAGAAAATCAAGTCTGCTTGCCCCAAAACAATTATGTTTATCTTTTGGATCCTTGCAGCTGCGGACCTTGGTCGGCAGTCATCAAAACTCCCTGGATGACACGTAAGACAGAGGCTTGACTCCCCATCCCCTACCCGTTTCATCCGTGGGTGGATCAGTCTGAAGGCCACGATGGGTGGAGTCAGAGAACTGAACTCTGGTGATTTGTGCTTGGGTTGATAACAACTTGTTTTGGACTCTGGAGGTCTTTGATTGGTTCCAGCACAGAGTATTAACCTTAAATGTCACCAGCTCTGCTGCATCCTAACCCGTACCATGTGCTTGATCCCTAGCCCCCTCCCTTCCTTAGCTGCCTTGCGAGTGAGTTTTTTTGAGCACATGATTCTGTGTTTCTGTGTAAACATAGGATCAGAGCATACTTTTTAAACTCATCTTTCCTATTGTGTGTATTCCAAGGTGCAAAAGGTAGCGCAACCCCTACTGTTTGCTGCATGACTTGATCACCTTTTCCCCTATGTTTTTGTCATTTGTGTGTCTTCTTGAATGGGTGTAATTGAATGTAATTTCATTGTGCAAACGATGACAATAAAGGCTTTCATCATCATCACCATCATCATCAACTTCTTTTCACTTCTCAAATATCAGTGTTTGTCACCAACATGAAATTTGTTTCTTATATCAATGGTAAACTTTAAATTTATGATTAAATGCAACAAAATAAACTTAAAAGGTGCAAGATAATAACAATCGTCCTGCCACTGAGCTGTTGGCTTTAAGTAACTGAGCAATTTATTTGGACATAACAGTCTGAAAATAAGCTGCTTTAGAGTTGGCATCAACCATAAACTAACTCTGCCATAATGCATATTAGCTACTCACTAGAAACTCAGTGAGAAAAACTTTATTAGTTTTGCTTTAATATTTCTGTATTTATTTCAGATTCTGTCAGTCATACACTTAGTTCTTACCAGTGTTTAAAAGAGGACATGATAAAACACTGTTTAGTCAAAGTTTAACATGAAACGTCAAAGTTCAATACAAGTGGCCCTTCGAGGGCCACCATAACGCTCATGTGGCCCTCGGTGRAAATGAGTTTGACAACGCTGTTCTATAAAATAGTAAAGTCGGGTTTGAACATGTTCTATAAAATAGTAAAGTCGGGTTTGAACGTGTTATATAAAATAGTAAAGTTTGGTTGAACATGTTATATAAAATAGAAAAGTTTGGTTGAACATGTTATATAAAATAGAAAAGTTTGGTTGAACATGTTATATAAAATAGTAAAGCTTGGTTTGAACATGTTATATAAAATAGTAAAATTTGGTTTGAACATGTTATATAAAATAGTAAAGTTTGGTTGAACATGTTATATAAAATGTAAAGTTTGGTTGAACATGTTATATAAAATAGTAAAGTTTGGTTTGAACATGTTCTATAAAATAGTAAAGTTGGGTTGAACATGTTATATAAAATGTAAAGTTTGGTTGAACATGTTATATAAAATAGTAAAGTTGGGTTGAACATGTTCTATAAAA